GTCACCGGGTTTATTGTTGAACCTGATAATTAATTTTAAAATTTAATATATAGTATTTTTGACATATATACATAAAAGTAACAAAAATAAATATTTTGTATACAAATTTTGTACATTTAAGTGTTAATAATATTGAATCTCACAATAAATATTTATTATGTCATTATATAAACATAGTTTTTATATTTTATATAAAAAATATAAAAAAAATAAAAATTTTATAGAGACGGGTCAATGACCCGGGTTGACCGAGTCAAGGCTGGGTTGGCCGAGTTTTGACCGGGTCCATTGTTACCCGGTCCAAATAGCCCACTCGGACCGGTTTCGGCTCCAGGTCGACCGGGACTCGGGTCGACCCACCGAACCGGTCCGGGTCACAAAACAATGGCTGGGGCCAAGAAATTTCTTGTAGGCCAGTTTCTGGACTGGTTGACTCGAAGACTGTAATCAGTCAAGTGCAAGAGCTTCAAATAATCTTGCATTCCGAAGGAATGGTGGTGAATGAAACTTTCTAGTGGCTGCCATAATTGCAAAACTTCCACCGAGCTGAAAAAATTTTAAAAATTATTTATTACATAAAAAAAAAGAGATGACTGTTGAAGAGCTCGTTGTTAGAATTCGAATTGAAGAAGACAACAAGGGCTACGACAACAAATTGATTAATCCTTCTTTGGTCAAGGCCAATGTTGTTGAGCATGGTGGAAGCTCACTAAAAAATAATAAGAAAAAATATAGCAATATTGGCAAGGCAGTATGGGGCCACTCGAACCCAGAGCTAGCTGGTTCTCCCAAAAAAAAAAAAAAACAAATTTTAAAGAATTTAATATTTTTTTTCTGAAAATTGTTATAATTATAATAAAACTGGCCATAAGACATCTGAATGCAGGTTGCCAAAGAAAAATCAAGAAGCCCACATGGTGAAAAACTTGGCCAAAGATGTTGATGAGATGCATCTCGCCGCAGTTATATTTGAGTGAATCTCGTGGGCGCATATCCACATGAATGGTGGATTGACACTGGTGCTACCCGTCATGTTTGCTCAAATAAGGAATTGTTTAATGTCCTTGACGAGACAGTGGATGGAGAAAAGCTCTTCATGGGAAATTCTGTCATATCTGACATCAAAGGAGTGAGAAAAGTGGTACTGAAAATGACATCTAAAAAAGAACTGACTCTTAATAATGTTCTTTATGTACCAAAAATTCGTACAAACCTAGTATCTGGTTCTTTGTTGATCAAACATGGTTTTCTTGTAGTGTTTGAATCTGATAAGATCATTTTGACTAAAAATGGAGCATTAGTAGGAAAGGGTTATGAATGTAATGGGCTTTTCAAGCTCAATGTGATGACAACTAATAAAATGTTAATCCTTCTGTTTATATGCTTGAGTCTTTCATTGTGTGGCATGGTAGACCTGGACATGTCAATTATAATACCCTGCGCATGTTAATAAAATTGAACAGCATACCTATGTTCCATATTGATTCAAAACGCAAGTGTGAAACATGTGTTGAAGCAAAATTGACACGATTACTGTTTCAAACTATTGAAAGAAATAGTGAACCACTTGATTTAATTCACACTGATGTATGTGATTTAAAAGCTGTCACGATACGTGGTGGAAATAAATATTTCATTACTTTTGTAGATGATAACACTAAATTTTGTTATGTGTATCGTCTCAAAAGTAAGGATGATGCGATAGAGAAATTTATTCTCTATAAAAATGAAGTTGAAAATCAGTTAAATAAAAAGATTAAGGTGAGAAGAAGCGACAGAGGAGGTGAATATGAGTCACCTTTCGCTGGATTCTGCGCCCAACATGGGATAAGATATGAAATGACTGCACCTTATTCACCGCAAGAAAATGAGATTCCGGAAAGAAAAAATCGTACTTTAAAAAAAATGATGAATTCAATATTGTTAAGTTTTGGACTTCCACAGAACATGTGGGGGAAGCTGTGTTGTCAGCAAATTACCTTTTAAATAAGGTTCTCCGTAAAAAGTTAGACAAAAGTCCATATAAATTATGGCATGAAAGACCATCATCCTACAAATACTTGCGAGTGTAGGGGTGTCTGGCAAAGGTAGCAATACCTACGCCAAAGAAAATAAAGATTGGACCAATAACTGTTGATTGCATATTTATTGGATATGCACACAACAGTAGTGCTTATCGTTTTCTTGTACATGAATCCAAAATTGAGGAGATTCATAAGAACACAATACTTGAATCTAGAAATGCTTCATTTTTTGAGCATATATTTCCACGTAAGTCTGAAGTGGATTCCAGTTCCACTAAAAGAAATTTAGAAATAATGGGAAAAGATCAAGATGGATATGCTGAGGTAGAACCTCGAAAAAGCAAAAGAGGCAAGATAGAAAAATCATTCAGCCAAGATTTTTTAACTTATATGGTTGAAAGTGAACCACAAACTTTTTCAAATGCAGTAAATTCTTCTGAAGGACCTTTGAAAAGAGGCAATCCAAAGTGAAATTGGTTCTATTTTGCAGAATCACACATGGGAGCTAGTGGATCTTTCTCCTGGAAGTAAACCATTGGGCTACATGTGGATTTTCAAAAGGAAATGAAACCTGATGAAACAATTGATAAGTAGGCTAGACTTGTGATTAAAGGTTATAAGCAAAAAGAAGGCCTTGTATTCTCCAGTGACGAGGATAACATCCATCAGGGTGATTATGGCAATCGCAACTTTACTAAATCTTGAAATACATCCAATGGATGCAAAAACAGCTTTTCTAAATGGAGATTAGAAGAAGAGATTTATATGGAGCAACCTGAAGGATTCTCTGCTCCCAGGCAAAAGAATAAGCAAATTGGTTAAGTCTTTGTATGGCTTAAAAAAAGCTCCAAAACAATGACATGAAAAATTTGATAATGTCATGATTCAAAATAGATTTAAAATTAACGAATGTGATAAATGTGTTTAGGTTAAAGACACGGAAAAGGGTTATGTAATCCCATGTCTTTACGTAGATGACATGCTTATTGTTGAAAGCAATGATAAAATTATTAAATCCACAAAAGATATGTTAAATTCTAAATTTGACATGAAAGATATAGGTATAGCTAATGTGATTCTTGGAATTAAAATTCATAGAACATCACAAGAAATTGTTCTGAGTCAGACACATTATGTGGAGAAAATCCTTGAAAATTTTAATAAGGATGATTCGACTCAGGTTAGGACCCCGATAGATACAAGTCAATATCTGTCGAAAAATATAGGAAAAAGTGTTTCTTAAGTCGAATATTCAAGGGTGATAGGGAGTCTGATGTAGCTAATGAATTGTACTAGACCGGACATCGCCTTTGCAGTGAGTAAATTGAGTAGATATACAAGTAATCCAGGAGATGAACACTGGAAAGGAATTGTGAGATTACTCAGATACTTGAGATATACTTGTAAATATGGTCTGCACTATTGTAAATATCTAGCTGTAATTGAAGGTTATAGTGATGCCAATTGGATATTGGATACGAAAGATTCTGAATCCACTAGTGGATATTTATTCAATTTGGGAGGTGCAGCCATATCTTAGAAATCTTATAAGCAAACTGTTATTGCAAGATCCACAATGGAGTCCGAATTTATAGCATTGAACAAAAGTGGAGAAGAGGCAGAATGGCTACGCCATTTCTTAGAAGATATTCCAAAATGGTCAAAGCCAGTGCCAACCATTTGTATACATTGTGATAGTCAATCGGCTATAGGCAGGGCACAAAGTAATATGTATAATGGTAAGTCTAGACATATCCGTCGAAAACATAATACCATTAGACAACTACTCTTGAGTGGTACTATATCTATCGATTATGTGAAGTCAAAAGATAATCTTGCAGATCCGTGAGCCAAAGGGTTAAACAAAGAGTTGGTTGCTAAATCCTTGAGAGGAATAAGACTTAAGCCTCTAGAAATGAGTTGATATAATGGAAACCCTACCTTATTGACTGGAGATCCCAAGATCTTGGTTCAAAGGGACACCCTAATTGTAAAAAGACTCTTATGATCACTGTGGGATACTATCCCATGTCCATTCCTTAAACAGTGATACTCGTAGTGAGTAGGATAAGAATTTAGCTTTTAATGATTCTTGTATGAGAAGGATTTACGGGCTACTTGTATTTAAGAATTATCTATGTGAGAGAGAAGTGGGGCTGCTTTGAAGAGAATTGTGTGAGGCTCAATTCTTAGACCCTCTCACAGAATCAGGCTATGTCCACGACCAATAACGGACATAATAATGAGAACTGGAATATGTTACGGAGAATCTTGTGTGAGGTTTATTTATCGTTTACACAAAAGGCAGAACAGTTCAAGGACAACGCGTCTACTGATCGGCTAGTAAAGTTAATGTGCTTTCACAAGGGGAGGTTTAAAGGGTAACACCTACCTATCCTATGCAAGTTGTTGGACCATAGCATTATTTTTCAATTTAATTTAAGTGGGGATTGTTGGAATTAATTGAATGAAAATTTTGAAACGGAACATTAAACATTGTAACTTGTTAATCTTGCAAATAAATTAATAACTTAGTTTTAAATTTAATGTTGCAAGATATTAACTCCATTTCTTTAAATGTTGAGAGTCAAACGTTTTTGGTTGGATCATTCATTCTTTAGGCCTTATAAATAGAGGTTTTGGATGAGTTTAAGAACATACTAAACCAAATACAATATTTCCAAAGTCTTATTCCCTCATTTTTTTTTAAATGTTTTGGTCCAGGCATAGTTCCAGTTCGTCGGATTTGTTTCGATTTTTCCGTTGTATCTTGGGAAACATATGCTCATACGGGGCGAATATGTTTTAAGGACACTGTGTTTTCACAGGCCTCGACATTATATTAAATAGCCGTCTTATTTTTTATTTTCCCGATAAAGTTCCTTACACTAAAAAACACACACACACACACACATGAAATCTCAAGTTTGAACCACACTTGACTTTGCCCCGAGTAAATTCCATGATTCAGCTTAATCAATTTCTTGGCCTTAAAACAACTTGCAATGGATGAAGCTTCTGAGTCATCAACCCAATCATATCAACATTTTCTTCTTCTCCATCCTTAAGCCTCCATTCAAAGTCCTGAATTAATCGACCTATTGCCAAGCAAGACACCAGCATTGCCATTAAGGCTCCGGGGCACACCATTTTCCCAGCTCCAAAAGCCATCGTTTTGTGTAAATCCGTCATTTCGTATTTTTCGTCAAGAAATCTCTCGGGGTTCCAGCATTCAGGATTTCCCCATACTTTCTTGTCCATGTTACATCCATAGATATTTATAGCAATCTGCATGAAAAATTAAACCCCGGTTAGCAATCCTTCTAGACCGAAAGTGGATATCAAAAGGCTGCGAAATAACAGAATCCAGACATATAGTTACCTCAGTTCCTGCTCGAATATGATATCCTCCTATTTGAGTATCTTCGTGAACGTATCTCAGAGGAACTATAGGAGCTGGGCTATACTTTCTCACAGTCTCATGAAAAACTGCAGATAAGAACGGAACTTCGCCTAACTTTTTCTCCATGATTTTATCATTTCCACAAGCACTTTGAATTTCCCGATACAGACGATCCTATTTGCGTGTAATAATAACTAAAATAAATCATGATAGTTCCAATAAACTTGTTACTAAACTATTTGAAGGGGGGAAAAAGGGCATTCACCTGTCGTTCTGGATCTTTAGCAAGTTCAAACATGGCCCACTCAGTTGCAACCAAAACAGTATCAGATGATGCTAATATGGCCTCCCATAATAGCGTGAGCCTCTGTTTTTCGGATAACGTTTTTTCTTCAGATAACAAATAGTCGAGGTAACAGTTCACTTTCTGAGAAGAATAACCGAGCGATTACAATAAAATCAGTCCAATAAATGATAAACCTGAATTGAAATGCCGCGAATGTACCTCCCCACGGGAAATTCGTTTTTTCTGTTTGTTGATGAGCACTGTCATCACGGCTTGCCTACGAGAATAAATTCGCTGGACATTATTCTCGAAAGACTTGTTTGGTATCCATTTTAGATATGGGAAGAAATCCCTCCAGTCTACCTCGAGGACGCCTTTCATAGGGTCGACTACTAAAATCTCGAAGATATTTTGCTTAGACAATGTTGTTCCAAGTTCCTCGACATATATAGATTCCACGTCATGTCCAAAAACCTGTAAACAGAAACAAACTTTCACTAGTTTACAACTCTTATGAACCAAAACTTTTTTCATCTATATCAGTATCTTATTTATAGCTAAAAAATTCTCTTTTCATACAAAAGATCTCTGAACAATCACATAATCCAGTAGAGTTCGACTGGCTTACTTGTTTCGATGTCAGTCCAAAAAGTTCCGAGCGGAATATTTTTCTGAAATTCACAGCTGCCAGAGGATTCTCTTTCAGACAAGCTCGCAATTGTTTCAACATGTTTTCTATCATGATATCCCTGTTGATTTGATGTCGTTTCTAACGATAATAAACAAAACTGTGAGACCCCAATAATTTGGCGAAAAAAATAAGATCATAAGGCGTGTCTCTGAACGTAATGCTCATAAATATACCTGAGCATTAGGTCCCAACATACTATTGAGAATATGCCTCTTGCTCGTCTTATGATATTCACCATAATCACTGGTTGCAATCATGTTTTTATCACAAGAAATGATCTTTATTGCGTTTGAAATCTTTCCTGTTGCGGGGAAAAAAAAAGAATCACATTACAAGTCGGGGGGACGACGAACCATTCGTACGTACAAATTCTTATAAACGGAAAAAAGAACGAATTTTGCCTCGGCTCACCTCCTTGGCAACATCCATAGAGCTGAGGACAACAAGTGAGTTGGAGCCAGTTCGAATAGAGTATATCGGGCCATATCTCTAGGCCCACCTGATAAAAGTCTTGTAAGGTTTCTTGTTTCTCAGTTGCAGTAAATTCCCTATCACCGGTAAGCCCGGTATTGCTGCATTCAATCCATCATATTTTTTCTTGTTTGGTGATGAACATATACATTGAACACATAAAAAAAAAAAAAAAAAACCATCCTTTGCATTAGGTTTCAAAGTCACTTAATTATAGCGTGCTTGGATACAAATATATCTGTTCGTACGAGTTTTTTATTAACCATTAATTCAATTCAATTCAAATAACTGCAAGATTGTGTTTTTTTTCAGTTGATCTCTCAACTTGATCACTTAACAACAAAACTAAAGAAAGTTACCAGGTGGAGAAGTGAGGCCCGAAGATGTCTTCGATTTCCGGCCATTCTTCAGATATCCATTGATGAGCCACAGAGTAAACAGCCCAATTGCAACAACAGTTCCCAGTGAAATTTGTTCAACACTTAGGATTGCATTTGCATCCATTTTTGTCGGTCACACAGTAATTGGAAGCCCAAGAATGATTAAATCCGTCCTTTTAACGTTGTTTATGGTCTATTGAAAGTGTATTATTATATTATAGAAAAGATGCTACGTTTCCGTTACGGAACCATCCCGTCGGAGTTTATAACGGTTAAATCAACTATCCCTGACGGCGGTTACATGATAATCTAACTGTTATAAATCTTGACGGAATTGTTATGTAACGAGACCGTAAGCATTTCTCATTATTATATTATATATATATGCAAAAGATTCTCCTTGCGGATAAGAACATGGTAAATAAAATATGGTAATTATGTTTAGACCAGCTTTTTATTTTAGTTGTCCTCATCTCCCTTGCATGCATGCTTATTTGGTTTTTGAATTGTTTTTTGAACAATGAGCTGTTAGATACAGACGTTTGCACAACTTGACAATCAATATTTGAAATGAAAAAAAAAAAAAAAAAATAAAATGTTGCAAAGTATATTTTATGTGAAACAACTTGAACTTTTAGATATGGATTTCTCTTCTTCACGAACATGTGCATTTTTTTCTCTTGGATGGTTGGTCGTGAACCAAAAGTACTCGCCATAGATCTTGATAGACTCGTGTCTAAACCGCGACCTTATTTGTCGAGACTTACCAATAAGTCTCGGCAAAAATGACTAGGGTTGACTGGCCGCTATTTATAATTTTTTATGTCACATAAGTATACGACGTAGCTATAAGTAGTGACGAATAAAATCATATTACACAATGATTGTAGGTTACTTAATTAAATATTAAATTAATGGCGATTTTGTCTAAACAAATGAATTTGGATGAAGACTATAAACTAAGAAAATAAACCATAAAATAATTTATTTAAAATAAACTGAGGTGTTGATGGCGCAGACGCTCAAATCGGAGAGAACAGCTTCCACTACAAAATAAATGTTATATTCCAACGGAAAATCTTATGGTAATATATTCCAATGGAAATTCCAACGGACATTTCAATGGAATAGCTTCCGTTGGAATAGTTCCAACAGAAATTCATCCAACAGAATATGTGTTTTTCATTGGAATTTTAGATGGAATTTGATGATTCCAACGGCTATAATTCCAACGGCTTTTTACCGTAGGAATTCCCGTTGGAATATGCAAATTCCGTTGGAATTTTTTTTTCCACCCCTGTTGGAAAATCCACTGTTGGAATCGTCAAAATCCAACGGAATTTCCAATGGAAACCCATTTCAAAGGAATATTTTCGTTGGAATTTCTGTTGGAATCCTTTGAAAAAATTCCAACAGAAATAATAGTATTGAAATATCCGTTGGAATTACCGTTGGAATAATTCTTTGAAATATATTTCCGTTGGAATTTCATATTTTTCTTGTAGGGTTCATCCATGGCAGAAATGACGAGTACCTCGCGTGTGAGACGAGTAGGAAGATTGTTAAAATGAGTCCACATTGCCATGCACACGTGGAAATTCAACATGCAAGACATATTGGTCATGAGAAGCATACAAATGAGGACAAAAGATTTCCTACTTTATGTAAAACTTTATCTCTAGATCCAAGAGCAAAGAATGCTGCCACTTGTCATCATCTAAGCAAAGCAAGGAAGGAGAATATGCTTTACCCTAGAATAGCACATATATAAATACAAGTCTTATGTTTGTTCTCACTGTAGCCGACATTTATTCAAAATATTGTGGATCTGAACTGTGAGTTTGATTCTTGAGAAATGAATACAAAGTTCAATGGATTGATGTGTGTCTTTATGATTTTACCTGCATTTTCTATCATGGTATCAGAGCAGGTATTTACCTGACTCTGATATCCCCCTCTTCCTTCTTTAATATTCTTTCTCAAAAAAAAAAAAATGGCAGAGGAAAGCTCCATCAACTCAGGGCTCGGTCATAACACCACAGTGAAAGCCCAACCTCAGATTCTATATCCAGTGAACCAACTCATCTCTGTGAAGTTGGAGGAGTCAAACTACCTCATTTGGAAGCAACAAGCTCTCACAACTATTAAAGGATATGGCTTGGAATCCTTCATAGACAAAAATGAAAAACCCCCAGAGAAGTTCATCACAACTGAGGAAGGAAGTGTTGAGGTAAATCCTGATTTCTCTACTTGGCAGAGGCAAGATCAGATTCTTGCTTCTTGGATGTTATCTTCTCTCAGTGAAAGTATCCTTATTTTAACTGTTGGTTTGGGATCATCAAAAGAAATCTGGTCAGCTCTTGAAAATAATTTTGCAACTCAATCTCAAGCCAAGATAATGCAATACAAGATCTTACTGCAAACTTTAAAAAAGACTGGTATTGCTATGAAGGATTATCTCAACAAGATGAAAAGCTATTGTGATGTTTTAGCTTCTGCTGGGCATGTTATTATAGAAAAGGATCAAGTCCTTCATGTTTTGAGTGGTTTGCCAAGTGAGTATGATGCTGTTGTGGTTAGTGTTACCTCTAGAGTTGAACCTTGCACAATGGCAGAGCTGCATGCTTTGCTTTTAAGCTATGAAGCTAGAATGGAATCCAACAGCACAACAGGAGCTACCTTGAATTCAGAAGGATCACAACCTTCCATTAATTCTGCCACTCAAAGTCACCAGAACAGGAACTTCAACACTGGTTTTCAGAACAATTTCCAAGGAAATAGAGGAGGTTTTAGGGGTTTTCAAGGCCCTAGAGGAGGAAGATTTGGTAGATATGGCAGAGGAAGGGGAGGTAGATACAACAACTCCAAACCTATATGTCAAATTTGTCAAATTCCTGGGCATACTGCAGACAGATGTTGGCATAGGAATCAGAACACAAACCAAAACAATCAAAACCTTGGACAGCAAACTCATCTCAGAAATCCTGCAATTAACTTAGCTCAAGTTGGCCCTCAGTATGCTTCTCCTTATTCTATAAACTCAGATAATGGATCAGAGGCTAGTTGGTTTCCAGATTCAGGAGCTACTGCTCATGTTACAAATGACTTCAGTAATCTGAACATGGCTTCTGACTATGTTGGCAGTAGCAGACTTCAAATGGGAAATGGAGTTGTGGTTCCCATCACTCACATTGGTAATGCTATTTTGAAATCTTCTTGTGACTCTAAGGCTTTTCTTTTGAAAAATTTATTGCATGTGCCAACCATAACTAGAAATCTTTTGAGTGTATCACAATTTGCATCTGATAATGGTGTATTCTTTGAGTTTCATCCAACCTTTTGTCTTGTAAAGGATCAAATTACCAAGACAACACTCCTCAAAGGAACCCTTG